TGTAATTCCACGGCATTTGAGGAAGACACAAAAATATTGGTATCATCTGCAAATATTCTAAAGGACAATTTATCGGAGCAGTTAGGGATATCATTAATGTATAGTAGAAAAAGGAGGGGACCAAAAGAACTGCCTTGCGGGATACCACATTTAATAGTTTGTTTAGAAGATTCCACACCGTCAATGCTAACGCAGTTGTTCAAATGATTTAATTTCTGCCTAAGAAGTCTAGGTCCCGCCTGCGAAAAAAATTCAGGTTTTGTTTTATGTAAATACCAACTCCCCCAGCATTCGTTCTAGAATTCACACCAACAAAATTGTAACCAGGTATATTAATATTGTGAAGATGCTGATTATTGTCGTTTAGCTTAGTTTCAGAAATAGTTATAATGCTAGGCATTTCCTTCACGGTTATCAAAATATCATTAAGCAGACATAAATTCTTTCCTAAGCTCCGAATATTACAATTGAATATTGAGAAGCCTCTTGTGTTAAATTTTTGAAAGCACGTGCCCGATTGCTTGATTGTGTAGTATTTTGACTCTATCTTTAAATTTCCTAAAATATTCAAGAACTGATCGTTTTTGTCAGGGCTTTCAAGAACGTTCTCAAATAAATCTCTTTCTTCAAGCGTAAGAACAGTATCGTACACCCATGATCCCACAGCTTTCGCGAATTCTCGCCTGTCTGTTAAGCCATAAAATGGCAGTTCCGATAAATAATTCACAGTCGTGTCAAGTGATTGACTGCGTTAACAGACTGCTTTATTCAAAAGACTTTTAATTAGTCAATAGCTAACATCAAATTCAGGACGAGACTCTATACATATCTTGCAAAAATACAGCTTTTATTGACAACAGAAACAGTATAATATTTAAGAGTAGGTCTAGTCTTCATCGTTAGGAATGGATTGTGTCACAAACAGTCGATTGAGCAAGAATTTGTACTTATCGACAGCAAGTTCTGTCGATTCGAGCCAATCAAAACCTTCTGTATCTTTGAATTCTCTATGGGTTTCGATCACTTTACGGAAGGTGGGATCTTTCTTTATTGCTCGCATCAACTGCGCGCAGATTGTCAAGCAGTACTTTTCTAAGCTCTTTTCTGTAAAAAGGAACAGGACAGCGTTCTCGGCTTTCACGCGGGCCACATTTTCTGAATCTCCGTTCCCTTGGTACTCATTGATCAATGCGTTGAGCTGGGCCTCATGACGTTGTTCCGCCTCGCTTAAGATACGCGACCAAGGATTTAAGAGAGCTCCTCTCGAGAAGAATTCGTTTCTTGGCTGTATTGCGAATCTTCACTTTGTTGCGATAGGCTGCTTTCTTCTATGTCTCCATAATTTCCAGCAACTTGTTGCAGGTATGATAATAGCCTGCGCTCCTCATATATGGTTTAAACAGCACAAGTTCTGACAACAAACTAACCGGGGGCAAGGAGCGTGCCTCTTTTAACGAGTATTAGTAATACAAAGGCTGGGTTACTAACAAAGAGTTCTCTTTTAGGTTCGATCCATCATAGACCAATTACGTACACAAAGCCCTGAAATGACTACTTTGCTGTTGTTGTAACGTTTGATGCGCTTGCGTGCTTTTCTAATGCCTTTTCGTAGCATTTCCACTGATGTCTTCCTTTCCTTGATCTTGGTAACTGATAAACTGTTGGATCGTTTCCCTCTTGTGGCTTTGATGGAGATGCTTCACTCCGTTGGTTCGTTTTTGTTCGATAGATCACCACTCTTACATTAAGATGTAATTTCGCTTCTTGAAGCTCCCACTTTCTTCGCTGGCTATATTGTAATTGATATGTACATCTGTGAGATAATTGGACAGTTTTACGAGATATCTTGCACCACAATTCGGGATTGGTCGATCATGGCAGACACACTTAACGGTACGAGAGCTAGGCAGAAATAAAACCGTTTCAAAAACGTTTAACCTCATAAAAATGTGAATTTCCGAGACAATCAGGACCTAAAACAGGACGAACGGGCTATGTTAGGGACACCAAGGACAAAACAAGGATCATGGGGACAAAAGGTGACAAACGAGGCTTTTTTAGTCATGTGTCTTTTTTTTTTTCTCATACGCACGTGTGGGTGTCGCGCGTCGCTAATCAGGTGAGCCATCCAATAAGAGGAATGCAAAGAACAATGTGAAAGGTGGGAAGAAAGCTATAAAAGTCTCAAACACAGCAACTCTATCCAGACTAGAAAAAAAAAACGGTTAAAAAATGGTTCACTGATGGCCACCTCACGAGTCAGTTTACCCGATTTGTTCGTGAAGTAAGAGAAAAAGAGGAGGTACTGGAAAACACGCGGCGTCAACTGCGTAAGAAAGAAAAGGACTCTTAAAAGATTAATGTTTAGCTCTTCGACTGGACAACGATAGCCTTCGTTATATAATGCTCCGTCAAGATTGTCGTCGTTACTTGAACAGCAAGAGACCCGGAGACACCGTTTTAGCAAGTGGTTTACGTTTTTGCCTGCCTCCAAAAAACGTTGACAGATATGATATCAAGTGCTCTTTTGAATTACTCTATTGTGAGCGTTTAAAACTAGAAGACCCTTTAACCAGCGAGAATCATTTTCAAATTTCTCTCCCAATAAACTGCTCTTTTTTTCCGCGTTTCGTTTGGCCACTTTTTCCCTTTTTAGTTGGTACTCAACTTCCTCTTTGGTCATGAATCTTTTATTGCAATTAACTGGGACTGATGGTTTCCTGGTTTGCCTTTCGCTTTCTGCGGTTTGGATCAGCTGTGTGCACTCGCAAACAATTTTGGCGTGTATCCGATGGACTAGATGTTAGCACCAGACAATTTTGAGCGAAAACGTTTTTCCTTTTGAGCCATTCCGTCATGCTTTCCAAAAACTCTTTCCGATTCTTTTAAGGGAAATCCAAGACGAACATTCGAGCTCTCGATAAATTGGATGGCAAGTAAAATTTGCCTGTCAGACGACATCTTGTTAAAAAGCTGCTCGACACCTAGATCTTTTTTTGAGGTCAACACTGTACTCGTTCACCTTAAGGTAATATTCGACGCGGTCTTCTGTGTCACTCTGAGTTCAGTTATGCCTCTCTGATTGCTGAACTCCCAGCTTTCGTGGCGGATAAAACTGACTTGGTCGGATCGTCCATCTTTAATGGATGCCAGCCATTTGGTAGCAGTAAAGATGTAGTGCTGAGGGAGGTTGAAACCGTGTCAGTTCTTTAAATGCGCTGTAGATTTAAGTATACACGTTTTTTATTACCTCTCGGCCCTCTTTGTACAAGACGTACTTGTTCTTGGGGAAATAACACTTTCATCAAGCAACCCAGAGTATAGCGTGTTAAGTCTTTGCTAAAATTCTCTTTTTCATTCATTTGAAGTGTTGCAAGATGTCACTCACGAACACCAGTCCATCTTCGGCGTACTCGTAATTTTGCAAAATCCTATGAAAACGATTAACTAAATCAGCTAGGGAATTTATGGAACGCTAAATAATAAACATACCTTATGTTCGTGCCTTGAAGAATATATAATTTGAGAAGTAAAACAATAGAAAGACGAAGAGGCAGATGGGATATCCGAAGAACCCTCAGAACACTTAACAGTACTTTTTTCGGAAACAGTAAACATCACAAAATTGGCCAATTTTACTAAAAATTAGGGCACTAAACACTAAACCCCGGCCCATTTAGACCCTCAAGAGACTGTTTGCTTTCCTTCTTTATCGGATACTGCACAACGTTCGTTAAGAGTAAAACACAAACGGCGATCGAGGATACTCATCCTTGAGATTATTTAAGAGCACCGATACCAGAGGATACTTTTTCAGAGATTTCATGAATGTGGGCCTTCCACGAGAGATTTTCATCAGTGATAAGCCCGAGAGATTTGCTTTGATTGCTTTGGTTTATTGGGACGCCGTCTATATGAATGTTCATTGTGTAGTCATTTAAGGACTGTAGTTTCTGCCTTGAGCTAATAACCATAAACTCTGTTTTGGCGACATTGAGACACTATTGATTTGGGACTCAAGATAAGGCATAGTAGCTGCAGAAAAGGTAACATCAGTGTCGTCGGCATACATTCTAGGAGAGCCCACAATCAAACAATTTGGTAGATCATTTATATAGATTAAGAAAAGAAGAGTACCGATTATTGACCCTTGAGGTACGCCACAATTTAGAGGGCCCGCGCTAGATAGATGATTGTTTACATTACACCTTTGCACACGGTTAGTAGTTAGGGAAATATACCTTCTAGCGAAATACCAAATTTCACACCTGGTGCCCGCATTTCTTCAAAATGCGCGCCCCTACCATATGAAAAATGGCAAACCGCTAAAAGAGTATATTTCCCTAACTACTCTAAAATAACACAAAATAACACAAATCTACTAATTCATGTTATTTCCGCATACACAATTTATTCCATATTACAAATTCCACGTCAGAAAAATAAAATTGAATTTAAAAGAATAAAATCTTAAAAATAGAAATCATGACAAAGCAAACAGTTGGTGTTTCTTGTTTAAGCAGTAGAAGTCAAATTCCAGCCCACGCAAAGTTGTATGCAAGAGAGTATCAACTAGTCAAAGAATAAGTAATGAGTTTGGTTATCTAAAAAACAAATTGTATGACCTTAATAATGGATTATTTGAGTCACCAATAGCCAAAAGAATAAAATATTTTATCAAAATCTGTTTTGGAGGAATAGAAAAAGGTAAATTAGGAAATATTAGTAATTTGGAATTAGAAAAAGAAGATTTGGAGAATACAAATATTATAAATTACGCCAAGATTTTTTTGATGACGATGAGAAACCTTACCCAGGTTTAACTGAATTTTATGTTGCCACTTTTAAATTTTATAATAAATTAACTGAAAGTTATGATATAGATAGTGACAGTGATTTTGATATAGATAGTGATTTTGATATTGTTATTGAAAGTGACAGTGATTAAATCTTATAACCTCATCTCAGTTATAAGATTTTACTATAACCATTAAATAAAAATGGAACCAAGATCGAGAGAAACTACTCCTACAAAAGAGGATTTGGATTTTATAGTTGATGATGGATATCAACACGACGAGGACCCAGATTATGTTCCTCCTGAAAAATTTATTCTTACAGGAGACAAGTTTAAAATGTTAACACGAAGAGCTAAAAAACTTGGTGCAGAATCACTTGATTACTCAACCAGAAAAAATAATAAATATATGGCTACACTTCCAGGTGGAAAGAAAGTACATTTTGGTTCTCCAAAGTATCCGGACTACTTAATACACAAGGATAAAGAGAGAAGAGACAAATATTTAGCTAGAGCTACAAAGATAAAAAATAAGCAAGGCGAGTTAACTTATAATAAACCAGAATCGCCAAATTTCTGGAGTACCCATCTTCTTTGGCCAAAAAAAAATTGATTTTTTAATTGTAGTTTAAGAAATAAATTATAATTAACAAAATGCAGTTATCCAGTTACGATCATTTAACCAAAGACACCGTTATTTTTAAAGAAGCAAAAGAGTCAAAAGTAAAAGATAGTAACATTAAATACAAGCGTATACCAATTGAAATCAAATACCAAAATAACGAAAAAGGCCCACTTGTAATCGAAACCCTATTTCTTTTTAGTTTTGGAGTAAATGAAAAGAGAAATCAAGAAACAAAAAAGTTAGTAGGATATAGTATGCCAGTATGTCTTTGGGCAAAAGATAGCGAACCAAATGAAAAAGAAAAAGCGTTTTATGGTGCTATTAATAGTCTAACATCTTTGTCTATAGAACATTTAGAGAATGAATACGGACCAGATTTAGCCTCATCTCTTTCCCCACCTTTATACTACAAACAAGAAGAGTACACTGATAAAAAAGGAAAGAAGAAAACTAGAAAAGATCCCTCATCTGCACCAGTTCTTTATGCCAAACTTATTTACTCAGAAAAATCAAAGAAAATTTTATCTTTGTTTAAAGGAAAGGGGGGAAAGGATCTAAATCCTTTTAAACTCATCAACCAGTATTGTAATGTGAAATTAGCTTTGATAATAGAAGGAATTTTTATAAGTAAAACTGTAACATCTTTACAAATAAAAGTTCACGAGTGCTATGTTAAACCACTCAAACCAAGAGAGTCTTTACTAACAATTGAAGAGGACAATGAAGATGACATTGAAGAGGACAATGAAGATGACATTGAAGAATTAGTTAATAGATTTGAGGAATTAAGATTATCTGATGAAGAGAAAGATGAGTGAATAGGATTTTATTTTTAATACATTATTTGTATTAAAAATCAACCAAATCCTTAGAACTTACCCATGAGTTAAATTTATCAGGATAACCACTCCATTTTACTAATGCCATTTTCTTCTTATTATCTCTCTTAATAATCTTTTCTATTCTAAATGTCTGCTGTTTTGCTTTTTGTAATTCTTGCTCGTAGAAAGAACCTTTAACCTCTTCTCCCATCAAATCAGTAATAGAATATGTAACAGGTTTTGTAGGTAAAACTTTATCAATAACGAATATCTCCTCTGTCCAGTTTGGTGTGTAACCTTTATCAAATACCCGCCTCTTATATTTTGATATTCTAACTTTATCACCAATCGCAAATTTTGGTTTACCAGGTTTCAAGTAGACTAAATCACCGTATAAATTAGACCAAACTTTATTTTCATTCTTTTTTTTACTTGCTTCAACAGGAGTCATTTTTATACTAGAATGTCTAGCGTTATTGTAATCATCAACTAGTTTATCTATCTTATCCCAGTAAATAGTGTTGTTATTCATAGTAAACATCTTCCACATTCTGTTTTTCATTGTTTTATTCCATCTCTCAACAACACTAGATTTCTCCTCGTTTTCAGTGTGATACAGCTTGATACCATTTCTTTTCAGAAAATCTTTAAAATGTTTGCTTATAAATTCGGAACCTTTATCAGTCCATAACATTTGTGGTTTACGTTTACTTTTGAATACATTCTCGAATGCTTTACTTACAGTTTCAGTTTTCTTATCTTTCAGCCCCCTAATCCAACCATACTTGCTAAACACATCAATAATCATCAAGAGATATTTAATACCTTTATTCCATTTACTAAACTTTTGCATTTCAACTAAATCAGCAGCCCAGATTTCATCAATCCCGTTTGAGATTACTGATCTCTTTTGAAAGTTTCTTGTGATTGGTTTGTGAAGTTCGTCGGCTAATTGTTGAGACCAATCACTACTCAACGCCGACTCGCGTTTAAACCAAGTCCAAGTTTTTGTTTAGTATTAATTATTGTTCTAGCCAAAGTATGCCCCCATTGTCTTTCTTTCCAAGGAATAGCATCTAACGATTTTACCATCTTTCTGTCAGCCTTATTTTTACACTTTCGGTCATCCCCACAAACACTATAATCAACATCATGCTGCATGGCGACAGCATCGGTTGGTCCAGTTGGTTGATCATAAATTTCTAATATTTCGCCGGTTTCCGGATTGTATCTTAATTGGTTTTCTAGATCATTATAAGGGCCTGTATATTTATGCCCTGGCAATGTCCATCCACCTTTTGGTTTTGGTAATTTACCAATTTGCTTGTGAATATCTACCGCACCTCCATCCAAATCTTTTCTGTTTGTTTTATAGTTTTTCTTTGGTCTCACTTTTGTTGACAGCTGATCCATGGCTGATCCAACAGAATCTTGAATAAATGGAGTGAGTTTATTAATCCCATAATTTACAGCTTTTTTCTGAAGATTTTTATTTCTTATTAACTCGCTTGCTCCATATCGTCCCATTTCAACTGCTTTTTTACCCATCCAAGGAAGCCCGTAATGTACAAATCCATCAACTGCTGTGCCAACAACTGTATCAAAGACGCCCGCCCCTTCAGACGGGCTAATTAGTTTTTTGACTTCTTTTTAGTTTTTCTTTTTCCACTTCCAGTTTGCATGGGAGTATTCCCCATTTTTACATATCTAACTTTTTTATTTCCACAAACTGCGCATCTACAAAAGAATTGAGTTCTACCTCTTTTATCTTCTTGGTAACCACTTGGCTCTGTACAAGGAGTTACTCTTTTATCTACGATACAATAAGTTTCTTTCATATTAATATAATGTTTAGATAAAAAAAAATATGACTACCAGATCTAATTTTCTGAAAAGTGAGCTTCAAAAGATATACGATAGCTTAAACATGAGTTATGAATACGCTGATTTTTTTTCTAGATTGGAAAACGATACGAAATTTATAAAAGTATTTGAGCTAGTTATGGAAATAAGTGAGAAATCAAATACGCTTAACAAAGTTGTAAAAGGTAATTATCTATTTATATAATAAATGGAAGCTAAATTCTTTTCTGAGATTGAAAAAAAGATGGATGTTAAAACGCTAAAAGATTTCGAGAAAGAAGTAAGAACAAAAATAAATCATGAGTTGGAGTCTCCAAGAAAGAAAAACGAAGATCTTTCTAGAGTTCTGATGGTTGGTGAATGTGAGATGTGGAAAAAAATAAGAAACGAGGAATATTCTTGGTTGCAGCTAAATAGTGATAAAAAAAAGAAACTTTATCGTCTTATTGATATTTACTCTAATTTCATAGATATAGATGATAGTGTTAAAGATCTAAATACAAAAGTTGAAAGGGTTAAACAGCTAAAGGATTCACCGGTTGATGAAGATTAAAAAAATAATATTTATTAAATATTATTTTTATTCTCCCTCCAGCAGGGGGGTTTTGGGGGGAGGCACTTCCCCCATTTTTATCCTCCAAAGTATGACTTTATAAAATCGCTGTTATCATTATCAAAATTAGGGTTATGTATTACATCTAGAATACCTTTACCTTTTTGTCGCTCGAATAAATAATATAAACACCAATAACCACATAGAACAGTACTGCGATTTTGTATTTCATCCATTGAGTACACAATAGGTTTTACAGGTCCCGTGTGAAAATAGTCTAATACTTCGTTTGGCATTATCAGACCAAACGGATCAAAGTACTCAACTAAATTGTTTATATTTCTGTAACAAACCCAGTGTGTTCCAGGCCCTGTTATATCATCCAGATCAATTATTCCACATTCTTTTCTAATCTTTTTTGGTAATCCATCACGACTATATATTCCTCTGAAATGTTTAATACCAAGTCTTTTTACCCATTCCATGAGGTCAAAGTTGGATAGAGGTTTAATTACAAAATGGAGTTTAGAATGTTGAGAGGGAGGGGTGTTAGGGGCTGTTCCCCTTATAGAATTGTTCCTAGAATGGGAATTGAGTTGAATGGGCTGTTTTTTCCTAATAGTAGACCCTTGCCTTTGGACTTGGATGGCCTGCCGGCTTTTTTTTTTTTAACACCCATTCCTATAGGGTTGGACCATGTACCGATAAAGGGTGGTGATTGATACGGATAACCCGTACCATGTGTGGGTGGAACGTAAACATTTGCTGTATTAGATGATCCACGTCTGTCGACCTGAAGTCCTCCTCCAAGCATCTTAGATACCAAACTAATTGCTATTGGAATACCAATAGAAGCAAGTGTACCTAAAAATCCTCCTTCTATCTGTTTACGAGTTGGTTTTATAACTACTCCACTACCTGTTTGATAAGCTTTGTTAATTTGATTTATTTGTGATTTGGTAAATTCTCTTACAATAGGTGGTAGCATTGGGAAAAACTCTGGGGGAATCGGGATTCCTTGTAAAGGGAGGTGTCCCCCACTTCCAAATATTTTATTTAATCCTATTTCTCCAAGTGCAGTAGCAGCACCGGTTGCTAATGCGGGAACAGCTTTTGAAATTCCTTTTATTGCGTAAGGTAGTACTCGCACTCCAATAGAAGCAAGTGATGAAAATAAGTTTCCACCATGTTTCACAGATTTTCTAATTTGAGTTTTACTTATTTTTATATCTGATCCAGTACCGTTTGCAATAGATTTTTTTATTTTATCAATTTGTCTTTTTGTCAACATTAACTCATCAGAACCTCGAAGATGTCCATGTTTTAAACGAAGAGTTAGTGGTGATTGATTTATTATCGCAGAAGCCAGTTTTGACTTTTGTCCATCTGTAAGTTTTACACCGTATTCAATATAAGTAGTCATTTTTTATTATAATATTTATATAAAATTTAATCACATCACTTCATAATCTCATTGTTGTTGAAAACAAACTGGACTTTTTTAGATCTTGTGCTCCCAAAAGGAGCGCTTTATTTCGCAGCACGTTTTCCATTTTATAACACAAACAAAGTATTAGCGGCACTCGCTAACGCACGCACATTCCTTTCATCCCTAACAACCATCTAATCTGAAAAAAATTTTTGTGTTGGCGTTAAGCTATCCAAGTTGCTAGGGATATTTGGTATGTCTGCTGACGTCATAAGGTTCATAAGACTTTGTGTTGTTGTGAAATGAGGTCAGAAGTGATATGAGTAACATGGAAAACGCACACAGCGAAGATATGCAGTTCGACGACATAGATTTGATCTCAGCCTGTTTAGCGCAACAAGTTATATGTTTATCGTATTTTTACCCGGTTGGTGGGTAATATTATTAGATTTTATTTTCGAATCTAATAATAGAAAATTACATTGTTATTAGAAGGTTATTGTTTTATATCACGAGATTATCGTGTGATTTTTTCAACCAATCAAATGATTACACAACATTTTCTGTGTAATCATAACAACTTGTAGAAAATTCTGTGTAATAATAACAGATTGTATAAAATTTTGATTATGCCTTTCACTTTGAGACAGTTGGAAGGACGCAGGTATGTCTGAGATTAAGCACGAAGCAATAGTTTTCCATCTTGTTGTGATATTTCTGCTATTCTTTCATGTAAGACTAATGCGTAAATATTATAATCAGCGTCTGGATTAGCAGTTAATTCGTAATGAAATGCTAGTTTTGTAACTCCATCTTTGATATCCATTTTTTGTTTTGTTAGGTCAAAATAAACAAAAGGAAACAAAGACTCAAAATTTGTTCTATTAAGTAAGGTTCCACCTTGATAATCATTATTCGCATAAATGTATGACATTACACTTCTAAAAACTCTTGTCATATCAGTAGAAGGTTTAAAGTGAATATCGGGGTATTCGTTTCCATTCGCAACTTCAAGATAACATCTTGATATATTAGCATTATTTGGTAGATCAAAAGTGTCGTATAAAAATGGATTCGCCGTTTGAGAATCAATTCTTGCCGTATCAATTCCAAAAATAAATACATGGCGCGGTTTTGAAATAGCATTTGTAATTCTAAAATGTCCTGTCTGTTGTTGTGTATTATTTGACCTTTCAACCACCTCATTCAAATATGTCCATTTGTAAGGTTTAAGATAATTTTCCATGTACAAATTTTGTCCTTCAGAATTAAAAGTAAGTCTTGGAACAAAAAGTTGTAGTCTTGTTATAATAACTCTACAATTATCAGCGGCTTGAAAAATTAAATTCGAATCTTTTTCAATTTCAATATTTAGTTCGATTTTTGTATTAGGAAGTAGCTTGTCTTCCAATGCTTCAAAGAAAGAATATCTATTAAGAGGAATTTCACAGTTTACTGTGGCTGAAGCTCCCAACAGAGCTTTTCTTGCGGCGAAACCTTTGTTGTAATTAGCAACTCGTCCTTTTACAACATTTGCTCCTCCAGTAACATTTGTGTTATTGATTGTAAATTCTGTTTCCTCCGCGTGTCTTGATGTATCAAGATAATAAAATTCATTTGCAGCAACACTTTCCACATATGCAGGATTATATTCGAGTAAATTCTTGATATTTACAACATGATTCGCATAATTACAACTATAAACTTCTCTTCCATTTGCTATTATACTAAATTTTTGTATAAAGGAGTTACTACCATTTACAATTCCATTATGGTCAGTAACCGCAATGTTTGCTCCGTTTGCTAGTTTATTTACTTTAAAATCCATTGATAATCGTGCGTTATACCAATCAAAAGGAGTGGATTCTCCTGTATTATCAGCTACAAATCTAAGGCCAGTTTTAGTTTGGTGAGCGTTATTTGCTGGGGCTGTATCTAGAGCCTGTTCCAGGTCATAAACAACATCCTCATATCTTTCTAAATATTTTGGATTTCTAAAGGACTTCATTTTATTTTAATAATTATATAATTTTCTCTTACGTGTTGAACCTCCACTAAGAATGGCATTTACTCTTTGATTTATCTCTTTTTTACTTGGAATTGTCTCAACATTTTCGTTAAAAGTAACTTTTTTTGCAGGGGGGTTTCGGGGGCTCCGGGAGGCAACCCCCCCGTTTGATAACAATTGGACTATTTTATCACCGGCCTTTTTACCAACATGTTCACCGGTTTTTGTTGCGGCTGCTGTTACTGCTTTTTCAACGCCTTTTTTAGCGGCTTTTTTCACTGTCTTTCCAAATATTTTTTTACCAAACGATTTAAAAACATCTGTTATTCCTTCACCATAAATATGTTGTCTTGTAAAAATACCCAATTCAGGGTCAAGTTTCTTTTTATACTCTGATTGTCGCATCATTTTTTTATCTAATGTTTATATTTCTTTTAAGGGAGGGGGGTCGTAGGGGGGAACCGTAGGTTTCCCCCACCCCCTACATGGAGTGAAGTATCAAAGTCATAAACCAATCTATACCGTTGAAATTTACAGGTCTTCCAAGTGAGTCTGTAACATAGATTCTCATTTCATCAATGTGAAATGAAGAGACAGGACAATACAATGGTCTTTTAGGTTCGAAAGTAAATGGATAAGACCTTGTTAGATTATCAGTTGGTATCACAGCTATGGTATTTGTATTTATTCCATTTACAATACTATCAGTTATTGCAGTTGTGTTGATATTTAACACATCAATCGAATTTGTGATATTTGGTAGTTTTGATCCATACTCTGTTTTAGTAATGAGTTTCTTTTCAAATCCAATCAGGTCTCCAAATTCTGTTCCTCTCAGATCAAGTTGATAATCACCATCGAGTGATACTAACACACGATAGGTTGATAGTATAAAAGTTAGATTGATTGAATACTTCTTTGAACCTTTAGAATCAGTTGAGTGGTGAGACTTTTGAGACATATATTGATGAATGTAATCATTGATATCTGAGTAGGAATACATTCCATCTGTAAAAGTAATTGTTTGCCAGTTGGTTCCATCATGAGTGTATTTGATTTTATTGTTTCCATAATCACTTCTAATGTTGTACCAAGAATAAGTCATGGACAACCGATCAAGAGCAAGTTGATGTTTCTTTTCAGGGTCAAGTTTCAAAGATGGGTTAAATTTGATAGTAAAATCACCAGGTCTGCTTGTTCCTCTTTTTTCTCTGTTTATCGAAGAAATGTGAATAGCTCGTTCTTCCATTATATCTAATAACTATATTATTTTGAGAGGGAGGGGTGTTAGGGGCTGTTCCCCTTAGAGGGAGGGGTGTTAAGGGCTGTTCCCCTTATATATAAGTTTTTATTAAATTATTTAGCTGTTTTTTTGAGATCACTTTCATTTGGTTGAGAAGATGTGCTATTTGAGAAAACTCAGGTTTTACACCATTATTCCCAGCTAGAATTGAACCACCAAGTAATTCAAGTCTGTTTAGAAGTTGATGTGGGTTGTTATAGTAAATCATTCCTTGACCCATTTTATACTCAAGCGAACCTAAATAAAGTTCAAGAATGTTTTTGTATTTATGTAGTAAATCTTTTTGCATTTGAATAAATTCTATTTCCATTTTTTCATCTTCTGTTTTTTGTTTTTTTCTCTTCAAACCAGCTATTTGCCCTGTAGTAACTTTTACATCATTTTTTACTTCATCACGTATTTCTCTAAGTCTTTCAGGGTTAGTATCAAAAAAATCATTTGGTCTTGGGTAGCCCATATCCTTCAGTACTCCTAAATCCACATTGTCAAGATTTTTTTCAATGTTATAACGTGTAGGTGATCTTGGTCTAGATGTTGTAGGTTCATCATAATCACCTTCCAAAGCTGGTAATTCGGACATTTCAGCCAATCTTAAATTAGTTTCATTAATTTTTTTCCAATCCTGATGTTAATGCAAGTTGATTAGCTTTGAGCTGTGCTATAGTTGCGTTTTGTTGTTCGTCGATACTTTTTTTAATAGAATCTTGAGATTTAATAAGTGGTTTAAATGTTTCTTTAAAACCTTCCCGCATATCTTGTTTTTGCCATTTTGTTGTTTTTATAACATCTCTAACCTGCCGTACCAAAGCGTCGGCTTCGATTTTATTTTTTGCAAAATTTTTGAATTCTTCTATATCCATTTTATCTATTGATTAAATAATTCTTGTAGCAGGGGGGTTTTGGGGGGACAAGGTCCCCCCATTTTATTTAATCAATAGATAAAAATGGAAATACCAAATTATGATAGTGCCGATGACATTGATAAAAAATATAAACAGTTATTTCCTTTTATGCCGGCGGATACGTTTCGAATGTTAATCTGTGGAAACAGCGGAAGTGGTAAGACTAATTTGTTATATCATATGTTAATCAAACCACTGTTGCATTACGATGAGATTTATCTTTACGCACGTAATCTTGAACAGGATAAGTATCAAAAACTCATCAAAAAAATGAGGGAGTTGAGTAGTAAAATTGGATATGAAATAATTCATGTGAGTAACGATGAAATAACCCCGGTTACAGAAATGGATTACGAAGACAATCAAAAACTTGTGATATTCGATGATTACGTCTGTGATAAAAACCAGAGACAACTTATTGATTATTTTATTCAAGGACGACATAAAAATTGTTCTGTGATCTACCTCAGTCAATCATTTTACAAAACCCCAAAAGATATTCGGTTGAATTGTTCTCATTACTGTCTGTACGAATTTCCATCATCGAGAGAAGCAAATCGCATATCATCCGAATTAGGAGTTGACAAAGAGGCGTATAAAGCGGCAACAAGAAAACCCTTTTCATTTTTATACATCGATAAACCAAAAAAACGTATTGCTAAAAACTTCACTGGGGGAACCTAGGTTCCCCCAAAACCCCCTCCCTCTAAGGGGAACCTACGGTTCCCCTAACACCCCTCCCTCTCAAAATAGTATAGTTATTAGATAAAAATGGGTATATTTAACGAACAATCGTTTGGTCTTCCTTTTGCCAAAGGAATACAGGGTGCCCCAGGAGTTGGTTTTAGTTTAACCGCAGATGGAAATTATGATATGAATAAAAAAAGACTCACAAATGTAGGAGCACCCACTGATAATAATGATTCCGCTACAAAGAAGTATGTTGATGACAATTCTGGTGGATCACCCTCGACATCACGATTAACAGTTGATTCAAACATCGATATGAAGAATACATACCGAATTACAAATCTTAGCACTCCACTAGATGGAAAAGAACCTCCTACAAAAGATTACGTAGACAACACATTTCTTGACAGAGATGGTTCCTACCCAATGAAAGGTAATCTCAATATGGATAATAATCGAATATTTAATCTACCAGCTCCAAATGGAGCTAATCAACCAACACCATTAGCTTTTACAGATTTAAAGTATGTTGCCCGTGATGGTTCATCTACAATGACTAATAATCTAAACATGGATAATAAAAAATAGTTAACCTTAGACCACCAACATCAGACACAGATGCAACAACCAAAAAGTATGTGGATGACTCAATACCTGATACTAGTTCTTTTATAAAAAAAGATGGAAGTGTATCAATGACTAGTAGCCTAAATCTTGGAAACAAAAAAATAGTTGGTCTCGCAACCCCAACATCAAACACAGACGCCGCAACCAAAAAGTATGTGGATGATAACACAGGTGAACCAGATTTAAGCGATTATTTAGAAAAAGATGGTACCGTTGCTATGACTGGGGATCTTAATGTTGGTAATAATAAAATAATAAATCTTAGTAATCCAACCCAAGACAATGACGCGGTAAATAAAGTTTACGCTGACAAACTAGTTCACAAAACAGCAGTTCAACCAAGTCATTACAACGATCAGTTTGCTTATCTCATGTCAAGTGGGTCTCAATGGACTGATGAAATAGATACCGGAACCAGTTTTGTTATAAAAAAAATAGGAGATTTAGCACCAAACCAAGGAAACTTTCACGATTATAACCGCAAAGTTATTTATTTAGGCATAAACAAAAATTCCCAAGGGGGATATAAGTACAAAATGGGAATCAACTTTTACAGGTTAACTGCTAATACCGAATACACACTATGCTTGGAAATACTCAACACTGAATACGCTCTATGGCATAAGTCTCAAATAAGTGTGGATAAAGGAACTTCAACAGGATTATCTATTGGAAATGTTAGTGTAAGGAAACTATCTCATAGGTACACGCAATCAAATGGGCGAGTAGCATTTATGTATTATCACAGAATAATAGTTAATTTCCGGAAGTTGTCAACTGGAAATAGGTTCTTTCTTCATTTTTTGGTTAATATACCACAAGATGGAACTGACTTAGCTGTTTATCCGAGACAGTTTTCAGGAGTTTATATAATTACTTATGGAATTGTGGGAACATTTAGCAATATCGATCCAGATAAAGTTTATGATTATCACACCGCATTTGATATCAAACCAACAGAAGTGGTTTACAATGTTGATATTAATGCAAATAATAAAAAAATATTAAATGTTAATCTTGATAGAAACAATAACAATAGCGCAGCAACAGTTGGAATGGTAAAGGAAATAAAACCTCACACTATAAATGATTTATACAGAAATTATTTCGAAGAAGTTTATGATTTTACTAACGCCGCTAATTACAAATTAAGTAGATCCGCATCAGGTATTGTTTTCAGATATTTATCTTCAAGTAGTGGTAATACTTTAAGAGATATGAGTATACCTCTTAGAACCTCAGATGATATAAAAAAAGGAGGACTAAATGTTAACGATTATATTATTAGTTTTTCTCCTCCTGATTATATTACAAAATATACTTTATGTTTAATATTTTATCATTGGAGAAATAGAAATTTTAGTATAAAAAAAAAAGATACAACTAGCAATACTACTTTATTAGATTTATACTATACTACTTCAGGTAACACAGTAAATTTAGTTGTTAATAGTCAAAGAAGACAATTAACCTTGCCAAGTGATTTTAATGGAAAAAAAATTGTTATATGGTTAGCAGAAGATTTTAGCCAAAATATTACAAAAGTTAAAATAAGTAACTACAGCGCAATATTAAGCTTACAAGCCGTTAGATACACCAACGAACAAAATTTTGAGTTTACAAATCAAGATGGAATTTTAATTAAAATAATGTTTTCTCCAAACTTTTACGACACTAGTTCTGAGCAATATCATAAAGTTATGCTACAGGAAAAGTTAAATGGAAGTTATGTACTTTAAGGGGGACTGCGTCCCCCTAACACCCCTCCCTTAGCTACGCCGCATAGGGTAACATTTTGCTAATAGTATAAGCAAAAGAATAAAATGAAAGACATCTTTGAGTTTAATCACATTGATAAATCTCTGTCAGAATCAGATATTAATGTTCTAAAAGATTTTTATAAACATTATCATAAAAAATTTTGGTGTTTTAAAAGGTGTTATAAGAGTTATAAATTTCTTGATGATGTTTTTACTATAACAGGATTAAGCCTTGTAGCTATAGGAACAATTGCTGGTGGGATAACACTAAACCCAGTTATTCTTGGTGTTATAAATGGCGCTGGGATTATTGTAGCTGGTATTGGAAAGAAAAAGAATTTTCAAAGAAAAATTGAGATGTCAAAGATCGCATATACGACTTATGAAAAGGTACTAGTAGAACTGAGATCAGCTCTTAGAGGAGATGAATGGAATAAACAAGAGTTCATTGATAGGATGAAACTGATAGATGAAATGATAATTGATCAAACTCCTGTATCAGATAGATTTGTTAGTAAGTATAACAAGAAATTTAATATAATCAATTAATAAATGGAAGAGTTACGCATTTTGAAAAAAAGTTTTGTAAAAAATTTTGAAATTACTTTAACTTCTGTTGGAAAAGATTTGGTGAAGGAATTGGAAGATAAATATAGTATTGATGACCAAGTTTGTCTTGATTATGCTATTAACCTTTGCCATAAGATTCCCAAGATGGAGGGAGTGAGCGCAGAAGATGAGAAGAAGTGTCAGGAATTTGTGAAAAGTTTTTATTATTTAGATGAAATAAAGTCTTTGAATTAGAAGCTAATTTCAATACTAAGAAAATATTGAAATCTAATCTAGATATTTGAAAAAATATTTTTGCCCATTTATTTTCGAAGTAGCTGTTTTACAATATTTTTTCCCCTCACATATCATACTAACCTGACCTGGATTTATTCCCAACATTTTGTAAACCGAATAAAAGCTATCAAAATTTGTTTCTCTTTTTGTAAACAAATTTACTGCTGTAACCCTTTTTGGATTTTTGCGATAACAACCAAATTTTCTGTTTTTGGCAGATTTTCTAATATTTTCGCTTGCAGTTACTACCTCCAAATTTTTTAGCCTGTTGTCCACTCTGACAGAATTTATATGGTTTATCTGTTTGTTTTTTTCAATTAGGCCGTAAAAGCATTCAAAAACAAACCGATGAGATAAGTATTGTTTGTTCTTGTTTTTTTCTAAATATATTGTAAAACTTAAATAGCCACTATTTTTAAGATTTCCTTTTCTTGGTTTTCTCAGTGTGACATGTAGGATTTCACCGTCTTCATTCGCAGCATATTTTTTATAGACTGGATGAATAAAGAACTTTTTCCCATTTGCTAAAATATAATTCTCCATTTAGTTTTAAAAACTATTTCTTTAAGCAACATATTTTATTTTTTATATAAACATAATATAGAAAATGTTGAAGGAGATAGTAGCATATGTTAACTTCCGCTTTCCGGCTGCAAAAACACAATTTTATTGCGACAACTTTATTAAAGCTTGTCTTGTTTACGAGTTTCTTTACGCAAAGTATTTTAACCAAACAATGCAGTTAGATAAAATTA